TTCACGAAATTATTTCAAGACAATGTAGAATATAGGAAAGCTCACAACGTTGTCAGGCACGATTTCATGAATCTACTTATACAACTCATGGAGAAAGGCTACGTTGAATCCGATGGAAATCGACAAGATACCGCCGATATATCATGTAATTATATATTTTACATTTATTTTCATTTTAATAACGTTATAGATTTAATGTAAAATTTTGTGTGCGCAGATTTCTACTTGTATAGAAATCATGTGAATTGAGTGAACAACTTACAATGACCTAATATATTTTTAACGTAGTTATCGTAATCACTGTACGATTTTGATATTTTATTAAAACACACAGCTAATACTAATAAATTCACCATACCGGAAGCGGCCGCGCAAGCCTTTATCTTCTTCATAGCTGGCTTTGAAACATCCTCAACTACAGCGACGTTCTGCCTGTATGAATTAGCTATATACCAGGATATACAGGAGATGGTTCGTCAGGAAATCGACGAGACATTGAAAAAGCATGGTGAATTGACTTACGATGCTGTGAATCAAATGACATATCTGCACAAAGTAGTTCAAGGTAGGTGCGACATTGCTCTCAAGAGTCGTCCAGAATCCTTGATTCGCAAGGAAACTGCAAACTCCGCGCAATGATAACCGATTACATACAATAAAATGTATCTTTCTGCTTCTTTCTGCTTCAGAGACTCTACGGAAATATCCGCCTTTACCTATCTTGAATCGCGTCTGCACCAAGGACGTAGTTCTTCCAACGACAAACTTTCTCATACCGGAAGGGACCATGATTACTATACCAGTACTCGGAGTGCATCGAGATCCGTCAATATATCCAGATCCGGACAAATTCGATCCAGAACGTTTCAACGCAGACCAAGTGGCGGCGAGACATCCTTACGCTCACTTAGCTTTTGGGGAAGGACCACGAATCTGTATTGGTAAGAGTAAATCGATTTTTGTATTATGTTCTGTATTTTTTGAGGTAGAAAGATTGGCATATATTGATTCCTTCGTTCTCTTAAAATGAATCAGTCAAACGTCATTGAAAACAGTGAATATACGCTGATTACAGTTATAAGTATAGCCCTGAAATTGCTCAGTGCTATACTCATAATTGATATCAGTGACTATTGATTCACTTTAAGAGAGCAGTTTTTTCAGAATGACATTAATCTTTTGATATTTTTAACATTTAGTTTAATTATGGTATTAATTTTAAATGTACGTAGGGATTTATAATGACACTTATTAGTTTATTATTGTCGTGTTATATAGTCTATTTCTTTTACCTACGACTTGGAATATATTTTTTTATGAATCTGAACTCTATTAATATATGAATCTTATTAATTTTTAGGTGCAAGATTTGGTTATGTGCAAACAAAGGTTGCGATTATAAGTATTCTGTCAAAATTCAAGTTTAAACTGCATCCCCAAACTCCGATACCTCTAAGTATTGATAAATCATCATTCTTGCTTTCAGTCAAGGACGGTATACATCTTATTTTTGAGCCACTGTAAACTAATGGCGGACATATTTTTAAATGATAAAATGTATGCCGAGTATGTCTTAAAGTTGAGTGTTATTAATATCAAAGAGGAAATACATTTCTTAAATATCTAGATTTGCTGAAAATTTTAAAGATCGATGCAATTGTTCTCGAGATAATCGCAAACGTACATCTAGACAAACATGCAAGCTAATTTAATAAAGCTCTTTTTTTAATAATCTTGAAGCATTGAATTATTTTATCAAAATGTTTTTTATGTTTGAAATATATTTCCAATAAAACTATGAAGTTGACGGACGAGTTACATCATTTTCTTGCCTTCAAATTAATAGTTTCTATCTAGTAAGTCTCCTTCCTTCGTTCGTTTTTATTCTCTGTGTTTTTCCTGATCCTCATTATCTATCAATAATACCTTCGCGTTCTCGCGTCACGGTCCCGGCAAATCGCGTTGTGATCGACAATTCCTCGATCAATCGCGAATAAATAGAAAACATATGCTAATTTTTTAAGTAGAGATATGTATATGCGCCTTAATATCCAGTCGTGGATATAATGTTCGTTTGAGATTTAATTTTTGTATTAATCACTAGACACAGGTCTGGTTAAATTTGTCACAATATAGTAAAACTGTATAAAATTACTGATCGTCACACATTGGATGTGCATGCGCGCACTTTGCAGTTTTATTTCACCGGAAGAAGAGCTCGCTTATATTGACAACATATGTATCTTCAAGATACTTTCGTAAGAGATAAGATGTTGCATATGTAATCTCGTGTTTTGTATTATAACACATGATGCCATGCTGACTATTAATTTCTTATAAAAAGATTACATATATACATACATACATATACATATCCATATATATATATATATATATATATATATATATATATATATATATATA